AACATCAATAAAAATTTGAAGTGTATATTTATAATTATAAAATTTAGTCACTAGTTTCAATTGATGTTATATACAAACTTATGGAAGTAAATTTTGAAGAGTTAAAATTTCTGACCTTGTTTACAAACTTTAAATCGTTTTACGTGTAATTTGAATATTTTTTTCCCTATCTTATAATACCAAGACAGTTATATAACTAAAAAAGTAAAATTATCTATAAAAAAATACTTCTATGACATAAAATTCTTAATTTGTGAGCCTTCCATACAATCTAGACAACAAGTTTCTGCCCGAGTGTTGTTGCAGTGGAACTATTAGTATGAAACTGGTGAGTTCAAATGTCGCTAGTCGCTAGAGGAAGGACTTGAACCTTCGACCTTGTGGTTAACAGCCACACGCTCTAACCAACTGAGCTACTCCAGCAAACATTAAAGCATATTTTTTTTTAAAGAAATAATGAAACCTAATTGCGGCCCTAAGATCTCATATTTAATTATAGTCGGAACTAAAATGGACCATTTAATTAAAGTCGGAACTAAAATGGACCATTATTATTCTTTCTTTTTTTTTAATGCCCATGATGATTTACAAGGTAGTATATGTTCTTAACTTTCTCAAACATTTTCAAACAAAAAATGTAAGCCCCCACCGCGGGTAACTAGGATGTCATTACACTAAATGGTAGTTGGCACAATCAACCAATCTGAATAGCCACATATCTTAATTTGAGGCTCACCATACACAACCCATCCTTAGCCTTATACCCATAATATAATGTGGTAAATTTCACAACATCAATAAAAATTTGAAGTGTATATTTATAATTATAAAATTTAGTCACTAGTTTCAATTGATGTTATATACAAACTTATGGAAGTAAATTTTGAAGAGTTCAAATTTCTGACCTTGTTTACAAACTTTAAATCGTTTTACGTGTAATTTGAATATTTTTTTCCCTATCTTATAATACCAAGACAGTTATATAACTAAAAAAGTAAAATTATCTATAAAAAAAATACTTCTATGACATAAAATTCTTAATTTGTGAGCCTTCCATACAAGCTAGACAACAAGTTTCTGCCCGAGTGTTGTTGCAGTGGAACTATTAGTATGAAACTGGTGAGTTCAAATGTCGCTAGTCGCTAGAGGAAGGACTTGAACCTTCGACCTTGTGGTTACCTGCCACACGCTCTAACCAACTGAGCTACTCCAGCAAACATTAAAGAATATTTTTTTTTTAAAGAAATAATGAAACCTAATTGCGGCCCTAAGATCTCATATTTAATTAAAGTCGGAACTAAAATGGACCATTTAATTAAAGTCGGAACTAAAATGGACCATTATTATTCTTTCTTTTTTTTTAATGCCCATGATGATTTACAAGGTAGTATATGTTCTATACTTTCTCAAACATTTTCAAACAAAAAATGTAAGCCCCCACCGCGGGTAACTAGGATGTCATTACACTAAATGGTAGTTGGCACAATCAACCAATCTGAATAGCCACATATCTTAATTTGAGGCTCACCATACACAACCCAACCTTAGCCATATACCCATAATATAATGTGGTAAGTTTCACAACATCAATAAAAATTTGAAGTGTATATTTATAATTATAAAATTTAGTCACTAGTTTCAATTGATGTTATATACAAACTTATGGAAGTAAATTTTGAAGAGTTAAAATTTCTGACCTTGTTTACAAACTTTAAATCGTTTTACGTGTAATTTGAATATTTTTTTCCCTATCTTATAATACCAAGACAGTTATATAACTAAAAAAGTAAAATTATCTATAAAAAAATACTTCTATGACATAAAATTCTTAATTTGTGAGCCTTCCATACAAGTTTCTGCCCGAATGTTGTTGCAGTGGAACTATTAGTATGAAACCGGTGAGTTCAAATGTCGCTAGTCGCAAGAGGAAGGACTTGAACCTTCGACCTTGTGGTTAACAGCCACACGCTCTAACCAACTGAGCTACTCCAGCAAACATTAAAGAATATTTTTTTTAAAGAAATAATGAAACCTAATTGCGGCCCTAAGATCACATATTTAATTAAAGTCGGAACTAAAATGGACCATTATTCTTCTTTCTTTTTTTTTTTTAATGCCCATGATGATTTACAAGATAGTATATGTTCTATACTTTCTCAAACATTTTCAAACAAAAAATGTAAGCCCCCACAACGGGTAACTAGTATGTCGTTACACTAAATGGTAGTTGGCACAATCAACCAATCTGAATAGCCACATATCTTAATTTGAGGCTCACCATACACAATCCAACCTTAGCCTTATACCCATAATATAATGTGGTAAATTTCACAACATCAATAAAAATTTGAAGTGTATATTTATAATTATAAAATTTAGTCACTAGTTTCAATTGATGTTATATACAAACTTATGGAAGTAAATTTTGAAGAGTTCAAATTTCTGACCTTGTTTACAAACTTTAAATCGTTTTACGTGTAATTTGAATATTTTTTTTCCCTATCTTATAATACCAAGACAGTTAAATAACTAAAAAAGTAAAATTATCTATAAAAAAATACTTCTATGACATAAAATTCTTAATTTGTGAGCCTTCCATACAAGCTAGACAACAAGTTTCTGCCCTAGTGTTGTTGCAGTGGAACTATTAGTATGAAACCGGTGAGTTCAAATGTCACTAGGTTGTCGCTAGAGGAAGGACTTAAACCTTCGACCTTGAGGTTAACAGCCACGCGCTCTAACCAACTGAGCTACTCCTGCAAACATTAAAGAATATTTTTTTTTAAAGATATAATGAAACCTAATTGCGGCCCTAAGATCTCATATTTAATTAAAGTCGGAACTAAACTGGACCATTTAATTAAAGTCGGAACTAAAATGGACCATTATTCTTCTTTCTTTTTTTTTAATACCCATGATGATTTACAAGGTAGTATATGTTCTATACTTTCTCAAACATTTTCAAACAAAAAATGTAAGCCCCCACCGCGGGTAACTAGGATGTCATTACACTAAATGGTAGTTGGCACAATCAACCAATCTGAATAGCCACATATCTTAATTTGAGGCTCACTATACACAACCCAACCTTAGCCTTATACCCATAATATAATGTGGTAAATTTCACAACATCAATAAAAATTTGAAGTGTATATTTATAATTATAAAATTTAGTCACTTGTTTCAATTGATGTTATATACAAACTTATGGAAGTAAATTTTGAAGAGTTCAAATTTCTGACCTTGTTTACAAACTTTAAATCGTTTTACGTGTAATTTGAATATTTTTTTCCCTATCTTATAATATCAAGACAGTTATATAACTAAAAAAGTAAAATTATATATAAAAAAATACTTCTATGACATAAAATTCTTAATTTGTGAGCCTTCCATACAAGCTAGACAACAAGGTGGAACTATTAGTATGAAACCGGTGAGTTCAAATGTCGCTAGTTGCTAGAGGAAGGACTTGAACCTTCGACCTTGTGGTTACCAGCCACACGCTCTAACCAACTGAGCTACTCCAGCAAACATTAAAGAATATTTTTTTTTTAAAGAAATAATGAAACCTAATTGCGGCCCTAAGATCTCATATTTAATTAAAGTCGGAACTAAAATGGACCATTTAATTAAAGTCGGAACTAAAATGGACCATTATTATTCTTTCTTTTTTTTTAATGCCCATGATGATTTACAAGGTAGTATATGTTCTATACTTTCTCAAACATTTTCAAACAAAAAATGTAAGCCCCCACCGCGGGTAACTAGGATGTCATTACACTAAATGGTAGTTGGCACAATCAACCAATCTGAATAGCCACATATCTTAATTTGAGGCTCACCATACACAACCCAACCTTAGCCATATACCCATAATATAATGTGGTAAGTTTCACAACATCAATAAAAATTTGAAGTGTATATTTATAATTATAAAATTTAGTCACTAGTTTCAATTGATGTTATATACAAACTTATGGAAGTAAATTTTGAAGAGTTAAAATTTCTGACCTTGTTTACAAACTTTAAATCGTTTTACGTGTAATTTGAATATTTTTTTCCCTATCTTATAATACCAAGACAGTTATATAACTAAAAAAGTAAAATTATCTATAAAAAAATACTTCTATGACATAAAATTCTTAATTTGTGAGCCTTCCATACAAGTTTCTGCCCGAATGTTGTTGCAGTGGAACTATTAGTATGAAACCGGTGAGTTCAAATGTCGCTAGTCGCAAGAGGAAGGACTTGAACCTTCGACCTTGTGGTTAACAGCCACACGCTCTAACCAACTGAGCTACTCCAGCAAACATTAAAGAATATTTTTTTTAAAGAAATAATGAAACCTAATTGCGGCCCTAAGATCACATATTTAATTAAAGTCGGAACTAAAATGGACCATTATTCTTCTTTCTTTTTTTTTTTTAATGCCCATGATGATTTACAAGATAGTATATGTTCTATACTTTCTCAAACATTTTCAAACAAAAAATGTAAGCCCCCACAACGGGTAACTAGTATGTCGTTACACTAAATGGTAGTTGGCACAATCAACCAATCTGAATAGCCACATATCTTAATTTGAGGCTCACCATACACAATCCAACCTTAGCCTTATACCCATAATATAATGTGGTAAATTTCACAACATCAATAAAAATTTGAAGTGTATATTTATAATTATAAAATTTAGTCACTAGTTTCAATTGATGTTATATACAAACTTATGGAAGTAAATTTTGAAGAGTTCAAATTTCTGACCTTGTTTACAAACTTTAAATCGTTTTACGTGTAATTTGAATATTTTTTTTCCCTATCTTATAATACCAAGACAGTTAAATAACTAAAAAAGTAAAATTATCTATAAAAAAATACTTCTATGACATAAAATTCTTAATTTGTGAGCCTTCCATACAAGCTAGACAACAAGTTTCTGCCCTAGTGTTGTTGCAGTGGAACTATTAGTATGAAACCGGTGAGTTCAAATGTCACTAGGTTGTCGCTAGAGGAAGGACTTAAACCTTCGACCTTGAGGTTAACAGCCACGCGCTCTAACCAACTGAGCTACTCCTGC